ACCAGACCCTGCTCCTAGTCAGCAGCCTTCCCAAACTTCCAATGCTTCCCCTCCTCTCTTTCTCCTGTATCTCCCCACCACATTTCTGATTCCAACAGTCCTACTCCTCTCACTTCTGTCAGGAGATCCACTAGGCAGAAATCCACACCAACTTTTTTGAAAGACTTCATCTGTCAGGATTGCTTGGATGTAAACCTGCCGAAACTCGCAAATCTGTTACCAGCTTTGGCATCTACCTTGGAGATTCATTGGTTTCATGGAAATCTAAAAAGCAACCAACCATTTCTCGCAGCTCCACTGAAGCTGAAAATTGTTCCATGGCCTCTACAGTTTGTGAATTACAATGGTTAACGAATCTTCTCAACGAATTCTGCATCACCTTTAATCAACCTGCTATGCTTTACTGTGACAATGCCTCTGCTATCCGCATTGCCAACAATTCATCCTTCCACGAACGGACTAAACACCTTGATCTGGACTGTCATATCGTGCGAGAGAAGCTTCAACAAAATCTTTTTCATCTTTTACCTGTAACTTTTTCACTGACTGATGTTTTCACCAAACAACTAGATCTTGCTCCTTTCCAATCCAACATTGCTAAGCTTGGACTCCACTTAATTTACCCCAAGCTTATGGGTGGGGGGGGGGGGGTATTAGATACATAGGCCTTTAACTAGTTATTATTGGTATTGGGCCTTAGTGTTTGATTACTTTGGACCGACCCATGTCTTTGCTTGTATATATTTGTAGTCTTCTAAACCTTTTGTAGTGTGAGATTTCATTTTTCAATTCAAATGGATGGCGCCAAATTCATGTTCACCATTTTCCCTTTTCATTTTCAATTCATATATGGCACGATCCATTTGAATTAAAAAATGAAATCTCACACGGTGTTTTCATAGGCTATACCAGAGAGCTTATAGTAATAAGCTGAAAACAGTTTATGGACATATCATAAGTTGTTGCTTAGCTAACCTCAGTATGTATACCAACGAAAAAGCGCAAACCAAATAGACCATGAGGGTAAGCATTTCAACAAGTTAAAAGGAACACGTGTTTTCGAAAATGGAAATAAAAAATATTGTCACAATAAACGGGCCTTAAAAAGTTCGAATATATGGAATTAGATGAGAGAAAATATTTTATAGAACAAAATGATAAGTTAGTCCAAACCTGAATCTGCATCAACAGGTTGTTAACAGTTGCACCACCATCCACTCTAAGCAAGAACTCTTCTTTGTTAGATTCATTGAACCCAGAATCTTTGCGCATTGAATCAATGACATCTTTTACTTGAAAACATATGCTCTCCAGCACGGCTCGAGCAATGTGACCCTTATTTGTATACCTTGTAATTCCAATTAAAACCCCACGAGCATCATCACGCCACCACGGAGCAAACAATCCATTGAAAGCAGGAACAAAGTAAACACCACCGTTGGATTCAACCTCTAACGCCATAGCCTCTATTTCACTAGCATTTGAAATAAGATTAAGACCGTCTCTAATCCATTGCACCGCTGCTCCAGCAATAGCAACAGATCCTTCCAGCGCATAATTGGTTGGAGCATTAGGACCAAGCTTAAAAGCTATAGTTGACAGTAGGCCATGAGTCGATTGAACTACTTCTTTGCCAGTATTCAATAGAATGAATGCACCTGTCCCGTACGTACTTTTAGCCTCGCCTTTACGGCAAGCTTGTCCAAGCATGGCCGCATGTTGATCACCTAAACATCCAGAGATAGGGATACCGGCAATTGGCCATCCGGTAGCAATATTGCCTATAATTTCTGAATTACTAATAATTTTAGGCAAAATTTCAGGAGGGATTTCAAGTGTTTTCAAAGTGGATTCATCCCAGTTGAGGGTTTTTAGGTTCATCAGCATTGTTCGGGATGCATTTGAAGCATCCGTAACATGTAATCCTCCTTTCACTCCACCAGTTAAATTCCATATCAACCAAGTGTCTATGGTTCCGAACAAGGCATCCTTTTTCTTTATAGCTTCTTTAACATCATCCACATTTTCCATCAACCACAGAAGTTTCAAAGCACTGAAATAGGTGCTAATAGGTAAACCACAACTCTCTACGAAATGTGTTCTACCGCCAGATAACTCCTTTTCCAGTCTCCTGTTTCAAAACAATAAAAATATATGAGATTTTTGATGATGGCAAAAAGGCAACAAAGAAATGAAATAGTGCACCAAATTCAATCATTGAATGGAACTAACATCAAAAGCATAGCACCCTATAGTCTGACAGAAATAATCAAAACATTATACAAACAGATTCCTATGGTGCAAAGGCAAAATGGTAGTTCATTTGAAATGAAGAGAAATGATCTACAATAAAATCAGGAGGGTGATAGTTTTTTATTATAGATGAAATATTTACACAAAATATGATTAGTGAATATTTTCCCTTGGCCTCATACTCTCTTTACTTAGATAGAAGGCACGTTAAACCCAAATGGTCCTAGATTAAGCACATTTTTTATGGTTAATACCTGTTTTCGCAATGTCAACATATTCTTTATAAACAGATCAACTCATGAACAGACCAATTCATGTGACAATTATGTTTTGCTTTCTAAAAGAAAGACCTATCCAAACTTAGACAAAGCATCAAAGAGTGTGATCAAAAGATTGTGTTGCTACAATAACAGTTGAGTGCAAGGAATCCATTTCCTACAATGACCATACATATATGCCATTATGCTTACATGAGATCAATCTCCTTGCTACTTAGGACAGACATTTCAGATCACAGACGTGTATGTATACGTGCTTCGTAGCCTTCTATACAAATGAGTTGTACTCTTACGCATGCAAAGATTCAATTATGTGCGCAACAAAATATAATGAAATGATTTCCTATACTCAAATAAAGCCTCAATTCAGGAAAAGAAAGAAAATTGAAAGAAAAAAAGGAGGACCTGCAAACGGAGGCAGTGCGAACATCCATCCAAACAATAGCATTGTGAAGAGGAGCACCAGTGGATTTGCTCCAAACAAGAGTAGTCTCTCTTTGATTTGTAATACCAATAGCTTTCAAACCTTTACTCACATTGAATCCATCAGCTGTTGCCTTATCCACCGCCTTAGTAATACAAACCTTCACACTCTCCAATATCTCCACTGGATCATGCTCCACCCACCTTTCAAACCATAACAAACCCATCAAAATTTTCAACAAAAAAACCAAACAATATAGGTTTTGCCCTAACCACCAACCCATCATAAAAATTCAATAAAAAAAACAAACTTTACAATGAAAACAAAGATCCCATCAAAATTTTGAACAAAAGAATAAAATCAAACATGTGGTGGACATAACTACCCTGCTTCTGGATAAAACTGGGTGAACTCAACATTGTGAGATCCAATTGCGTTAGCTGATTTGTCATAGATTATGAATCTGGTGCTGCTTGTTCCTTGATCAATTGATCCAATAAAAACATCATCTTTAGACATCTTGTTTTGTTATTCTTGAGACCAAAATGGATGATGTTGTTTTTGTTGTTTGAAGATTGAATTGTGAGTATAAATGTGATGAAGAAAGAAAAAAAAAAACAAATACATTGTATTTATGTGGTTGACTATTGAATTAATGCCGTTTATTTGGGAAATGCTGATGTCAATCCATGCTTTTAGGTAAACGAATCATCACAAAGTTTATCCATTTTAGATAAAATGAAAAGAAAAACAGATTCTTTTATTTTTCCTCTTTTTCTCCGTCTTTGTTGGTTTTCTATTATGTGTTTTGAGTAATAATAAAAAAATATTAAAAACAATAATTTTAAAAAATTAATTGATTTTTAAGATAATAGTTTTACATTGAATTTTTTAATTTGTATTTTACATTTATTATTTTTAGAAATTTTATAAATTTTGAGGAATAATCGATTTCTCACTCTTAGTTTAGATGTTGAAAAATTACACTAATTAAAAGTTAGAGGGTGCATTGTTATTTTAATAAAGTTGGAAAAAGATTGATGTATAGTTTAAAATTAGAGAGGGTGTTGTATCATTTTAATATATGCAGAGGAGGTGAGTGTAATTTCTTCCGTTAATAGTAGTACTTCTTAAGAATCATATTTCTTTTTTTTATTTTTCTATGAATTGATATTTTGTGGTTCAAATCATTTACAAGGTAAAAAATGAGATTGTAATTTGATAATTGTGAAAGAACCGGAAGAGAAATTTTTTTTTTTTTTTAATTTTAAGAATGATTTTTTAGTATATTAATGATAAATCATGACATTTCACATTCTAACTTTAAATCATGTTGTTTGGATTAATTAGATTTGATATGATTTAGTTTTTTTTATTCTTTGTTCTTCTTTTAGTGGTGTAGTCGATTTGAGATCTAACTGATTCTCAGTTTTATCTTTATTTATTTGTTATTTTTTGTTTTAATTTAATTTTATTTTTACTTTTTGCTTTTTTATTATTAATTTTATTTTGTCTTTAAAAAAGATTCCTACCAAAAAAGTCCAAATATATATATTTTTCTTTTCTAGAAATTTCACTCTTCATTATTTTCCATTGAAATCTTCTTCAATTTTTTACCAAATATATGTGTTGCAAGTTGCAACCATAATACATATTGATTGATATTTAATATCAAAACTTTCACATTAAATTCATATAAAAAGAGAATCACTTATCATGTGAAAACTTAAATGTTACAACATAAATAAAATTTATTGACAGTTGTGTTAGTTGCCGCGCCATAAAGTCATGTTGTGAAATTGTGTTTTATCAAAGAGTAAATTATGATACACACTACACATACACTGAAAATTTTACTATATTCTTCTCCATATACAAATAAATGAAGGAACAAAATTTCAATTTTATTACATAATTGACATATAACTACTATTTCTTTTATTTAAGGAAATGAATACTAAAATAAAAAATTGTACTAGAAAGTAGAGGAAATGAAAAATAAAGATCAAGATGGTAATAGTAACTGCTGGCTGCATAAGATCATCTCAAAGAGAAAGATCAGCTAAGTCAAAAGATTTATTGACAGCTTTTAACCAAGAATCTGCTTTCCTTTTCCTTATTTCTTCCGTCATTTGAGGACGGAAAATGTTTGCATTCTTCAACCTTTCCTTCGTGTCGAAAAAGGATTCTTCTTTCCAAACACCAACTGCTAATCCAGCTGCATATGCTGCTCCAAGTGCGGTTGTTTCAATGTCAGACGGTCTGATTACCGAAGTTGCCAACAAATCCGCCTGCCAACGTTTTCAACAAAATTTCTGTGAAAAATGACTCCAAACAGCTTAATTCAGCGTTTCATATAAGTTATAAGGTGTTTTCATAAGTACCATTGGAGAGCTTATGAAAATAAGCTGAAAACAATGTGTCATTATTTGTTTCCTCAAGTTTAATTCAGCATTTCATATAAGTTATAAGGTGTTTTCATAAACAATATCGGAGAGCTAATAAAAATAAGCTGAAAACAGCATACGGACATGTCATAATTTGTTTCCATAAACTCTTTAAAGTCACAATTGTGTATACAGATGAATAAGCTTAAATAAGTCAATCCAAACAGGACATCAAAGTAAACATACATCAGCTTCACAATAGTATGCAAACATAACATTCGCAAATATAAACATCTTTTTCATAATAAATAATACAAGTTATGCTTTAACAATATCAAAAAGTTCAAAATATTTGAAATTAGATGAAAGAGTTTCATAGAACAAAATGTAAAGTTAGTCCAAACCTGAGTCTGCAACATCAAGTTGTTAACAGTTGCACCACCATCCACTCTAAGCAAAAACTCTTCTTTCTTGGAGTCATTGAAATCAGAATCTTTGCGCATTGCATCAATGACATCTTTCACTTGAAAACACATGCTCTCAAGCACGGCTCGAGCAATGTGACCCTTACTTGTATACCTTGTAATTCCAACTAAAACACCGCGAGCATCCTCACGCCACCATGGAGCATACAATCCATTGAAAGCAGGAACAAAGTAAACACCGCCGTTGGATTGAACTCCTAATGCCATATCCTCTATTTCATTAGCATTTGAAATGAGATTAAGACTGTCTCTAATCCATTGCACTGCAGCTCCAGCAATAGCAACGGATCCTTCCAGTGCATAATTGGCTCGAGCATTAGGACCAAGCTTAAAAGCAATAGTTGATAGTAGACCATGCTTTGATTGAATTACTTCTTCGCCGGTATTCAATAGAATGAACGCACCTGTTCCGTAAGTACTTTTAGCCTCACCTTTACGGCATGCTTGCCCAAGCATTGCCGCATGTTGATCGCCTAAGCATCCAGCGATAGGGATACCGGCAATTGGCCATCCAGTAGTAACATTGCCTATAGCTTCTGAATTACTAATAATTTTAGGCAAAATTTCAGGAGGGATTTCAAGTGTTTTCAAAGTGGATTCATCCCAGTTGAGGGTTTTTAGGTTCATCAGCATTGTTCGGGATGCATTTGAAACATCCGTAACGTGTAGCCCTCCTTTCACTCCACCGGTCAAATTCCATATCAACCAAGTGTCTATGGTTCCGAACATGGCATCCTTTTTCTTTATAGCTTCCTTGACAGCATCCACATTTTCCATCAACCATAGAAGTTTCAAAGCACTGAAATAGGTGCTAATAGGTAAACCGCAACTCTCTACAAAGTGTGTTCTACCGCCAGATAACTCCTTTTCAAGTCTCCTGTTTCAAAACAATAAACATTTATGAGATTTCTAGTAATGGCAAAAAGACAACAATGGAATGAGATCGTGCACCATCCGCAACCGTAGAATGTTCTTAGGTTAAGGCTGTTTTCACAATATCAACACATTCTTAGCTTACATACGCCAGCAAAATAGAATGTAAAAGAAGAGGACCTGCAAACGGAGGTGGTACGAGCATCCATCCAAACAAGAGCATTGTGAAGAGGAGCACCAGTGGATTTGCTCCAAACAAGAGTAGTCTCTCTTTGATTGGTAATACCAATAGCTTTCAAACCTTTATCCACATTGAATCCATCAGCTGTTGCCTTATCAAGTGCCTTTGTAATACAAACCCTCACACTCTCCAATATCTCCATTGGATCATGCTCCACCCACCTTCCAAACCAAACACAAAACCATCAAAATTTTCAGAAAAAAAAAAAAAAAAACTTTGGAATAAAATCAAACATGTGGTGGACATGATTACCCTGCTTGTGGATAAAACTGAGTGAACTCAACATGGTGAATTCCAATTGGTTTAGCTGATTTGTCATAGATTATGAACCTGCTACTGCTTGTTCCTTGATCAATTGCTCCAATGAAAACATCATCTTTAGACATCTTGTTTATGTGTATGTAATATGATCAAGAAAAAACAAAAATCTTGTATTTATGTTGTTGACTATTGAATTGATGCTGTTTCTTTGGGAATGTTGATGTCAATCCATGTTTTTAGCTAAATGAATGATCATAACTTTTTTTAGTTTCAAGTAAATTAAGCAATTTTAGTTGAAGGATTTGTTCAAAATTAGAAGTAGAAGATTAGTATTAACTGCTACTATGAAGAAAAAAAATGTAATTCAATAATTTTTTTATGCAATTTAATAATGTTTTTAATGGATTTGTATTTTTTAAAAAGAAACAAATATTTTTTAGTTAATGACATGTTTGAAAATGAATGGATTACCTATTTAGTTAAAATTGTGTTTAATAATCAGATAAATCAAGTGATTTATCTCATATAATTAAAAGAAAATAGGAGTGCAAAATTATTTTTTATTGGAAGATCATTGTCTTGCCAAATTACATTGATGTTTTTAAATTTACGATATATCATTCAAATTCAAATTGATATGTCTGTCGTATTTAGATCTGTCTGTAAAAATTTATAAAAAAATAAGACAGAGTGATGAAGGTGCAGATTTAAAATTTTAACCTCTATAAAAAAATGAGTGTGTGAGAGGTTCGCGTATACCAAACCTTTTAAGTTTAAATTATAAAAATTTATGTTAATTACCATGTCCACAAAAGGTTATGAAAAAATGGGATGAGATTAAGTGTGCACTATAGAGAATGTGTGCTTAAATGGGATGAGATTAAGTTGCTACAATAACAGTTGAGTGCAAGGAATCCATTTCCTACAATGACCATTTTGCTTACATGAGATCAATCTCCTTGCTATTTAGGACAGACATTTCAGATCACAGACGTGTAGGGTATCCGACATACGTGGTTACATTCAATCACTTGTATTTTTTCAAACTCGTGTATGTATACGTGCTTCGTAGCCTTCTATACAAATGAGTTGTACTCTTACGCATGCAAAGATTCAATTATGTGCGAAAATATAATGAAATGATTTCCTATACTCAAATAAAGCCACAGTTCAGGAAAAGAAAGAAAATTGAAAGAAAAAAAGGAGGACCTGCAAACGGAGGCAGTGCCAACATCCATCCAAACAAGAGCATTGTGAAGAGGAGCACCAGTGAAAAATTATGAATTTATTCTGTTTTTGCAAGTCGTTATTGTTGAATTACCAAATACTTTTTTAGCCTACCAAATACCTTTTTTAACCTATCTAGATTGAAAATTCATAGATACTAGATAGGATATATTGATATAAAAAAATCAGTAACATGTGATGTGATGATTTATCATAAAGTTATGGTCTTGAGCCACATATTACTCATTTACCAAACCTCACCTTTTGCAAGCAAAGTCTATTAAAATTGATTTGACAGATTCTTTCGTTAAATAGAATTCTCATATTTTACTAAAAACTCCTCAACCAAAGTTTTATTTACAGTGATGTGTAGTATTTTGAAAATTTGGCTATAATATATAGAATTTAATTAAAATATAATGTATAAAATGATTTTACACAATTATTTAATTATGAACCTATGTTTAAAAAGGTGGATTTTTATTTTAACTACTCATAAAATAATACAAAAAAGTGATGATAAAGAATTGACCTTGTAAATTTTTAAACACTAATAATACATAATAATTAATCTATAATATATATATCTAACATCAATATATATATATATATATATATATATATATATATATATATATATATATATATATATATATATATATATATATATATTGTTTTATAGTTGATTGATTATAAATATCAGAGTTGTCTCAAACTTTTGAAAGGTCCAGCATAAAAATTTAAAATTAACTTCATTTGAATCGTAAGTTATTTTTAAGGGGTCCTATTTAATTGTTAATAATGTGTATGAAGGCCATTTTTGCTAAAATTTATTCATAAAATAAAAGTGAGATCATGTGCTTTAGGTTCCTTTGCACGCCTTCAAAGACGGTCTTAATACATATCACACAATAATTTTTCCTCCAAATATTATAAGTTTTTATTTTATAGTTATTTGATTATAGAAATCAGACGATAATTTTCCCTTCTAATATTATACAAAATTTTATTTAATAAAAATATGTATAATTTATTTAATTTAATAATTAAAATATTATAAATTTTAGTTGAACACTTATGTGAATAATTTAGGATTATTGCATTATTTATCCTAAATGTTTATAGAAGAAAATAAATTATATTTTTAAACTTATCTTAAGATGATTTTATTTAATATTGCTAATAAAGATTGTATACATAATTATTTAGATTATTTTAATTTTACTACTTTCTATTAACTATATTATTTTTTATATAAAAAAGTTAAATTATTTAATCATTTAAATTAATCTATTGAAGAGATGTGGACTACTTGAATGATTTAGGCTTAAGTGAATTATGGTCCCTTCTCACATGCACAAATTCAGTGTCTTTGTAAATTTCTAAGTTCATTTTCTCCTTATTCTTATGTTCCCACTGATATTTGTTTGTCCGTAAGCCCTTATATCTTTCTTATGTATTTTCACTTGAATTAGTTTATAAGCATCTATGTATTCTCGTGTCTTCAATTTGAGGCACTTTGTGTTCCTACTTGTCTTCCTACTAGAATCAGCTCGAGAGCCTTTTTGTATTCTCACAAGAGTTCAGTTTGTTAACTAAACTACATTTTGTCTTCCTTCCGTCCCGTTGTAGCCCTAAAATTATAAGATATTGTTGTTAACATTATTATCTACTAGCACCCATACAGGCACTTCATGCTCGTTTGTCTGCTTTTTTTTATTGCACTAACGCGTGCAATTTTTTTAATGAGATTTTTTATATATATTTCATTAAAAATAATATTACTTAGGAACAATTATAAAAATATAATTATATAATGATGCATGTTAATTTTAAAATATTTTAGTAATGTCTTCAGAACAATTTAGTATTAAAAAAATATCTTTAGACCAATTTAACAATGCAAATGTCAACTTAAAATTAACTTAATAATCTAAAGAGTAGAATGTGAAAATTAAAACTTATCAATAAATTAAATGTTACATAAAATAATATTATTTACATAATTAGAAAAAATAAAAGTAAGAAGACAACCAATGTATGTTGTTTAATGTCTTAAATTTTGAATAATATCACAATTTAGAAATCATACAAATTATAAATGGATATAAAATAACAAAAAATTAATATTCGCATATTTTACAATAAAGGACATTAATAATGTTACTATTATTTTCCATACTCGATGTTGTGTTCAATAAAAAAGGCATATTTAGAAAAGAAAATAATGTTGTAGTTGTTATTTGTTTTTGTAACTTATCGTTTCTTATAACTTATCCGTGGATGTTGTCACTAATACGTGTTTCTTCTCTCTCTCCTTTTCCCACTTTCTCTTCGTCTCTCTATAACTCTTTTTTTATATCACTCATCAGTCTCTCTACCTCTATATATATTCCAATCTCTTTTGCACATGGAATCCATTTGTTCCTCTTTCTTTGTTTTGTTAAGTAGTTAATAACTGATTATCATTAAACGAAAAATTATGATAAAAATATAAACACAAATACCTTCAATCTTTAAACGATATTCAACCCTTAATATCATTCATAGCCTTAGACTTGACATTATACAAAAAAAATTGATACAAACTGTAGTTTTGTTTGTGAGTGTGAGTCTTATAGATGACAAGTTTAGAGATTAATCTCAATACAAACTGATGCATTGATACAATATATATATATATATATATATATATATATATATATATATATATATATATATAGTTCAAGTTTGTATTCATGAGGAGTTGAATGGTGGTATAATAAATGACTTGACTGATGAGAAGGGTGCATGGGACAGGAAGTTAATGCAATCATGAATGTCTATCGAGATTACAAACAAAATGCAGGTTGCCATACCTTCATAAGTAGGAAAAAGAAGAGATGAATGTGGTTAGAATGGTAGAAAATTAAATAGTTGTAATAAGTTGATAATAAAAATACATGGTTAACTATATATATATATATATATATATATATATATATATATATATATATATATATATATATATATATATATATATATATATATATATATATATATATATATATATATATATATATATATATATATATATATATATATATATATATATATATATATATATATATATATATATATATATATATATATATATATATATATATATATATATATATATATATATATATATATATATATATATATATATATATATATATATATATATATATATATATATATATTATTCTGGCCTGGGCCCCGGCGTGACCGGGCAGGCCCAATCCAATGATATTTTGTCAAGCCCAATCCAGCTTGGGCCACAGTCGTCGAGCACAGGGTCCCCGCCAGGCAGGCAACGGCCCCTCCACGGGCAGGACCTTCTTCCCTGTCGAGCAGAACAACATGTCTTTCACACGTTCTCCACGTGCTCCCCTCCGCGGGAACACGTCATCCACCAACTGCCCACCTCCGAAAGAGCAGGTCAACCCACTTTCCGGAGTTCATTGAGCAGTTGAACTAGGGCGAATAGCACGTTCTGGTCTTCACTACGCCACGTAAGCCCTAGCAGTCACTTGGGTTGGGTCTGGCCATCCAGCCCAACTCAAATGACCGTTGGTCCTGCGCTGGGGTCTCTCTATAAATACCCTCTTCTCCAAGAGGGTCAGGTATTCTCTTTTTACCCCTTTTCTGTATTTGCTGTCACTCTGTCTAAACTCTTACTTTGGCATCAGAGTATCTTGCAGGTACACCCTCATCTCCTTTTCAACACCGGTGAACAGGCAACAGATTAACGGCGTGTGGTAAGTCTTTGGTCCCCTTCTGATCAGGTTAGATCAGTGGCGCCGTCTGTGGGAACATAAAACTTTCCCGTTCCTCCAAGCAGAGAACCAAAGTTTCATCAACATTCCGCGATCAT